GGCATTTTCAGATGTTTTAAAGTGAAAGGACATAAACTGTGGGTTAATGGGGACAGAAAGCAGAAAAGATAAGGGGAGAAAGGGCAAGAAGGATCACTCTCTGTTTTACCATTATTACACAATAAAAAGACCAATTCCGAAGGTTTTACTTAGGGTCCCAGAATTCAAAATAATTTTGACATATTAAGTAACTGATAAAAGTCTTCAAGTTTTCTGAGTTTCAGTTTTCCTGGTGTAATATTGATATTAGACAAACAAAAAAAGATTTGAACATATTTAAGTTCTTTCCAAAACTCTTTTTTTTTTATTTTTGTCTTTTTGTCTTTTTTCGTGACCGGCAACGGATCGCAACCCTCAGTGTCACGCCCGTACCGGACTGGGACCGGCAATGGGATCGCAACCCTCGGTGTTGCCCCCGCTCCTCGCTCAGCCAGTGAGCGGCTGGTCTGTATGTGGGATCCGAACCCTCGGCGGGAGCGCTGCCACGCTTCCCAAGCGGCGCACTGTAGCAGTGCGCCACCGGGCTGGCCCTCTTTCCAAAACTCTTATGGGGACTTTACAGGGAGTATTGATTACTTTGACATCATTGATCATATTGGTGGAACCTGGCCATGCCTGGGAAAACACTTTCATCCTTTCCTCCTCATTCCTTATTCAAGTAAACCAGTGTTAAAGGAAAAAAGGAAGTAATGTTTATAAGTGCATGCCATGCTGGCCATTCTCACATACTGAATTTTATATAAAGTATTGAGTGTGTCCTCTGTGCAAATATAGCCTGCTACACATTTACTCAAAAATCATCATTGTTGGGCCAAAACCCTATTGTCAAGGAGTGAAGGGGCTGTCACCTTTCCCAGTCTGTTCCGCAGGGCTGCTGTGAACACTGTGCTCCTCTGCGCAGAGTGGTCTTGCTCCAGCGTCTGTCTGCTGAGCTCACTCTGAACTCATAAGGACTTAGCTCCAAGTCACCTTCTCCTCGAGGCCTTCCTATGTCTCCAGCACACCCACAGCCTAGGACCCCTGTTCTCCTTCCCACTGTACCAGTTGGACAGGCTGGGAATTGTTGCCATTACAAACTGTCTTGGGGAATTCTCACCCATGGTGTGTGTAGTGTATTATGTCCCCCCAAAACTCCCTAAAGCTTGAATTGTGTCCCCCAAGTTTGATGTATTAGAAAGTTGGCCCCCACTCTGACTGTTAAGAGGGTGGGAAATCCTATTATGGTAATTGAAAGGTGGAGCCTTAAAGAGGTGATTGGATTGTAGGACTGTGCAGTAGTGAATGGATTAAAAATGGTGTCCAGGGGTGTGGTTCTGAGGGCTTTAAAAGAAGAGGAGAGTCTGTCTCTCTGTCTCTCTCTTTCTCTCTTTCTTGCTCTCTCTGCTTCCACCATCTTGTAAAGTGAGACTCCTGGGTCACTGTCACCACCACCAGATGGACTTTGGATTTCCCAGCCTCAGGAACTGCAAGCAATAAATTTTATTTTCTTATAAATTACCCAGTTCCATGTATTTTGTTATAAGCAACAACAATGGACTAATACAGTGTGTGTTGCAGCCTTTCAGGGCTTGAAAAGGGGTGAGCAGGTTCACACAGACTCTTCAAGTGCCCTCCCAGAAATGGCACACATCTCTGTGCCCATAAATGAAGTGGCCACACCCAGACCCAGAAAGAGTGCATAGGAGCAATTTTACCATGTGCCTACACAAAGGGAGGCTAGCATTTGGTGACCAGCACTAGTGACCACCACGATGTAGCCACCAAAGGTCTCTCTCTCTCTCATCAGGGGAAATATACTTCTCCCTTTATCAAGGGAGGCAACCTGAAAGGTCAGCTCTGCCCCAGCCCCAAGGTCAAGATTACAGATACATGTATTTACATGTCCTGGTAGAGACATCAAGTCTGGATGTGGCTTCCCTTGATCCATGGACCTGTAAACTAAAAAGAAGAGCTGTCTGCCCTCTTCCACCCCACATGTACAGTGTGTGTGCTGGGATGGAAAGGGCGAGGACACCCACAGTTGACCTGCTGGTTTGCAGCCATTTCACGACCCCACTGGGCAGATCCTCAGTGGGCTCTGGCCCTACAGTGGGGTATCGGGGGTGTCTCCTTTAATTAAGACCTGATTCTGCTCCCAGGGTGGGACTCCTGAGGACTGTTAATTTTTCTTTCATTAACTGTGTGGTCATAGTGAAGTGGGCATTGGAGAATAAGCCTCCTTGAGGTCCAGGCAGTGTTTGCCCATGAAAGACAGGAATGCAAAGGTACATTGAAGTCTCAGATAGTCACTTTTCTTCCTGACGTGTGGTGCCCTTGGCAGAACTTACTTCAGACTTAGCCCCCTTCTAACCTACCAAGGTGGCTTCCCTGCGCACAGCCAGCTTGCAGATCTCTTCCCAGCCTGATTCTGAGGTCTGCCGCATGCCTTTGCTTCCACAAACCAGTGCCTCTCTCCCACTTGCTTTCATTCTTACTCCCTCTCTATTAAGTTAGGGCAGGGAACTTGGCCCTAGCACACCTCAGTGAAGAATCGCACCTTAGTCTCTCTTCCTTGAGCAGTATTTGCATAATTAACAATTTTGCAGGGTGACCACTTAATCCATTTAGAGGCTTAGCAATGGGTTGATGATTTCTGCAAAGCTTTTTCAGTCAGCTGTGGATGCTCCAAGCAGTTCTTGATGCCATGCTTTGCCAGCGGGGACAAGAAGCATTTGCCTTTTCCAACACTACCAGACCCTGAGTTTTCTTCGTCTTTCTTTTCTCTTCATTACTGCTTTCAAACTGCCTGCTTCTTTGTGGAGATTGTTTCTTTCCTGTGAACTCACCACACACACAGCAGTCCCCACATGCCTGTTCCAACCTCTGCCTGAAGAGCTACACACTGTATAGACGCATGTTCTGCCCTGTGCCAGGTGTCACCTTTGACAGGCATGTCCCTATGTGGGACACCATGCGTCCAGCCTCCAGCCCACACTCTTATTTCAACACTCTTTGAATCCCATTTTTACATTGGTCAGTGCATGCTGGGTTACACCGCAGAAATAACTCACACATGCACACACATGCTTCCCCTCAGACCCTCCTTTTCTGTGTGGTTTTGGTTTCGAGTCTGTCTGTGAGAAACATGTGCACACGTTTTGGAAGGCGGTAAAGAGGCTGAGGCCATTAATCCTCAATTGAGGATTAATTAAGGTAGACACATGGACCATAGAGGGACCCTCTGGTGGCTGAGGTGTCACGCAGCTCCTGCCACGGCTCATTGAGGCTTTGGGGACGGACGCTTCCTCAAGAGCCTGCTCCCAGCTGCCATGCCCCTGGCGTTCGCTCCCCCGCTGCTCAGATGCTTGTGCAAGACTCAGGTTCCCTGTGCCACAGTTCTTCCTGTGTTGGAGGCTTGCAGCTATAGTTTGGATACATGTGCCGCTCCAAAACTCATATGGAAATTAGATCCCCAATGTGGCAGTGTTGGGATGTGGGACCTAGTGGGAGGTGTTTGGGTTCATGGGGCAGATCCCTCACAAATAGATAAATGCCCTCCCTGGGAGTGAGAGAATTCTCGCTCTATTAGTTCCTGCCGGAGCTGGTTGTTTAAAGGACTCCGGCACCTCCCTGTCTCTCTTGCATCCTCTCGCCATGTGGTCTTGTACCTGCCGGCTGCCTGCCGCTTTCTGCCATGAGTAGAAGCAGCCAGAGGCCCACACCAGATGCAGCTGTCCCAGAATCATGAACCAAATAAACCTCTGTTCTTTATGAGCTACCCTGTCTCGAGTATTCTGTTACAACACAAAAATGGACTAATACACTTAGATACCTTTTGTTTTCTCTAGCCGTAATCTTAACTAATGGCACCAGCCTTTTTCTTCTGCATGATATATATGGCCATCAGACAGTTTGCTTAAGGCCTGTCTGCCTGCACTGGATAGAATGTGGGATCTAGGAGAGCAGAGCTTTTCATGGTTTGCATAGCCTGGCATAGTCAGTGCAGCAAACAAATGAGGAATGAATGGACTAGTTAATAAAAGGCCAGTTGAATTATAAACTTTCAGTTGAATTACCTATCATAGAAAGTTTCTTAACTGGAAATTCAATGGAAATAATACAAGATTTGTTGAGAATTATTCACACTGTATAAAATTAATAAATTCATAATTTAATACATCAGGGAAACTATGAAAGATATAAAAATCTCTAACAATCAGACTCCACATCCTTTTTACCATGGACCTGATGCCTGATGATAATTCTTTAAACTGAGATTAGGGAGTGGCCTCTGTGTGCTCCAGTCGGGAGAAACTTATTGGTGTCCTTGCCGTCCTAAAGACTGATGTTCACAGCATAGTCATATTCGGCACTGTGAACAGTGGAACGGCTTCCAGTTCTGGGTTTCTGCCCCTGTGACCTGGGCCCTTCTGCCTTCTGCTGGCATCAGCATTGGCTCGGGTGGCTATGATCTCTATAGTTCTTTGCTGTGGTTTCTTTCGTACTTTTCTTTTTGTTTTGGGTTGTGTTTGAGAAGACTCTTAAGTAAAAATAATAATAATGATTATATGAATATTTATGGATTACTTGCTCTTTGCCAGGGACTAAGGGTTGTTCATTTAATCATTTCCTTTTATCTTAATAACACCTTTAGGAGATGGACACTATTACCTTCCCCATTTAACAGATTAAAGAACAGAGGCTGCACTAGGTCACGTTCCCTGCCCAAGCTTGTGCTGTGATGCGGGGTCTGCATCCACACTTGGCCCCATCCTACTTTATGCATATGTCACCATTTAGGACTCACGAAGTGTGATGTTATGTCACAGACGTTACCACAGTGTTGACTGATAGGACTGACTGTCATTCGCTGAATGCTTATTGTGTTGAGTAAGGCACACACAGGAGGAGAAAGGAGGTGAGGATGGAACCATGGAGGGAAAACAAATTTGACAAAGAAGACAAAGAATACAGAAAATTTATTAACAGAACTGCCTGTCTCTCTTTTTGCTCTGTTTCAGGAATACCAAATTGATATATTTTTTGCTCAGACCTGGACAGACAGTCGCCTTCGGTTCAACAGCACAATGAAAATACTGACTCTGAACAGCAACATGGTGGGGTTGATATGGATCCCAGACACGATCTTCCGCAATTCTAAGACAGCAGAGGCTCACTGGATCACCACACCCAATCAGCTACTCAGAATTTGGAATGACGGGAAAATCCTTTACACTTTAAGGTAAGATGCTGTGTGGATCTTTAATTACTTATGGCCTAATTTCTGACCCATAATTTAAACCATTGCCGGGATGAGACCCTATTTTCATCTCTCAGTTCTATTCTCTCACATGCGTGGCATGCTGCAGCACTCTGAAAGTTTGTCTTCAGGCCACATGTGTAAAAATAAAGGCATATAAACTCATTCCTTCCTCAGAACCCACTTCTGCTGTAAGTAGGCTGTGAAAATTATCAACATATGGTTAACAAGGGTCCACTCGTGCGTCTTGGAGTGAATTCACAAATGTACTTGCAGCCAAACCTGAGACCACAGGAGGAAGTGAAAAGAGCGTCCACAAGCGTCTCTCCCATACCGGGTCCTCCCGGCGGCAGGTGGTCCTCCCGGCGGCAGGTGGTCCTCTCAGAAACCCGGCAGATTCAGAGAAGCTGCGCTCCGAAGGAGTGAATCACTTGCCAAGGTCCCCAGTGGGCACTGGACTTCCCAGCTGACCTAGGTCGGCTTCTCTGCAAGTCCTCACCACGAAGGTCCGAGTGCAGCTGGGCACACCACAGCAGGGGGGCACACCACAGCAGGGGCGCACACCACAGCAAGGGCGCACACCACATCAGGGGGGCACACCACAGCAGGGGCGCACACCACAGCAGGGGGGCACACCACAGCAGGGGGGCACACCACAGCAGGGGGGCACACCACAGCAGGGGGGCACACCACAGCAGGGGGGCACACCACAGCAGGGGGGCACACCACAGCAGGGGGGCACACCACAGCAGGGGGGCACACCACAGCAGGGGGGCACACCACAGCAGGGGGGCACACCACAGCAGGGGGGCACACCACAGCAGGGGGGCACACCACAGCAGGGGGGCACACCACAGCAGGGGGGCACACCACAGCAGGGGGGCACACCACAGCAGGGGGGCACACCACAGCAGGGGGGCACACCACAGCAGGGGGGCACACCACAGCAGGGGGGCACACCACAGCAGGGGGGCACACCACAGCAGGGGGGCACACCACAGCAGGGGGGCACACCACAGCAGGGGGGCACACCACAGCAGGGGGGCACACCACAGCAGGGGGGCACACCACAGCAGGGGGGCACACCACAGCAGGGGGGCACACCACAGCAGGGGCGCACACCACAGCAGGGGGGCACACCACAGCAGGGGCGCACACCACAGCAGGGGGGCACACCACAGCAGGGGCGCACACCACAGCAGGGGGGCACACCACAGCAGGGGCGCACACCACAGCAGGGGGGCACACCACAGCAGGGGCGCACACCACAGCAGGGGGGCACACCACAGCAGGGGCGCACACCACAGCAGGGGGGCACACCACAGCAGGGGCGCACACCACAGCAGGGGGGCACACCACAGCAGGGGCGCACACCACAGCAGGGGGGCACACCACAGCAGGGGCGCACACCACAGCAGGGGGGCACACCACAGCAGGGGCGCACACCACAGCAGGGGGGCACACCACAGCAGGGGCGCACACCACAGCAGGGGGGCACACCACAGCAGGGGCGCACACCACAGCAGGGGGGCACACCACAGCAGGGGCGCACACCACAGCAGGGGGGCACGCCCCGACCAGCCTTCCCGCCTTTCCGCAGGAGGGGCAGGTGGCGCCCCCCAGTGTGCACGTGCCCGCCCGCCCCCGGCTTCAGAGCCCCCCATCTCTCTACTCCCTGTGCACGTGCCCACCAGCTGGTCCGATCCACGATTCTAAAGGCACAACCCCATGCCGGGATTCCACCAGGACGTCTCTTCTGGACTCGGTTCTTGGCTCCGCCTGCCTGTCCCCTCCCTCCTCCCGAAGTGCGCCTGCGGGACTGTGGCTCGGCTGCCCTCTGACCCGCTCACTGGGCCCCAGACTTTCCTCTAAGCTCCCCCCCCCGCCCCCACAACCAGAGCCCGAGCTTCTAGTTACGGCCATTGGTGGCCAGGACGAGGACCCTGTGACTCCTGACGTTAGACACGTGTCCACAGCACAAGTATAGGCACAGACGAAATCAAAATGAGCAGAGGATGAGAGAGTTCTGAAGTTTCAGGGAAATGACAGTTTTGCCAGGCAGGGAACAACAGTGACTTAAAAGCCACCACAGGGAGCGCTGATGATGAAGTCAACTGAGACAGCGGGTTTCCAGAGGTTTCCTCCTCCACCTTAAAGCAGTAGGAATGAGACTCTGAAATGAAGCTGAGCCTCTGCAAAGCGGAAGGGAGGCGTGGCCGGTGGTCCCGGTGGTCCCAAGACCCTCTGTGGAAGCTCCTGCCTGTCTGCTCTGGAAGGGTGCAGTGTGCCCTCTCTGCACAGCCAACACGTGCCTCGCGAAATACGGGGGAGTGGGCCAGATAGGAAATGCCCCTACAGGTGGATTAATTTGGCATAATACCTATTTAGACAAGTACACAGTTTGAAAATGGAGGAAGCATTTAATTCAAATAGATTGAACCACGTGCCTCGCGAAATACGGGGGAGTGGGCCAGATAGGAAATGCCCCTACAGGTGGATTAATTTGGCATATTACCTATTTAGACAAGTACACAGTTTGAAAATGGAGGAAGCATTTAATTCAAATAGATTGAAAACAACGACTCATAAAACAACAGCTGGCTTTGTCTCCTTTCTGACATGGCTTGTACTTTTAGACACAGTTGGAATTTTACTAACTGGAATACTTTCTGTTACTGAGAATTAAAAGTAAAACAAAATAAAACAATCCAAAAGCAACCATACGGTCTCACCGAAGGAACATTGCCAAGAGTGGGTCCTGTATGCAGGCCCTGGGTCAGGGGAGCTGCCCACCTAGCCTCCCTCCCTCCTTCCCTCCCTTCCTGCCTGCCTGCTTTGCCTTCCTGCCTCTGGTGTCTACCCGCCCCCTGCTTTGCCCCCCAGGGCCTTTGCAGTGCTGCTGTGGGCCTCTAGAGTGACACTGGCTCTCCCACAGGCTCACCATCAACGCAGAGTGCCAGCTGCAACTGCACAACTTCCCCATGGACGAGCACTCCTGCCCACTGGTCTTCTCCAGCTGTGAGTACCAGCCCGTCGCGGTGTGCATGCATGTGAACAAGGCCGCCTGCTGCTAGTTGATTATGCTGTCACTGTACAACCAGGGAAAACCAATGATGGTTTTGGTATGGGCCACCCGGGTGTTTTCACTCCAGACTTTACTGCGTAGGAGCCAAGTTACAAAATAGGTAACTGTGATAAAGCTGTGAGCACCTTAACCATTCATGGTAACATGGAAGGATTCAGAAACTGATGAACAGTTGATTTACTAAACACCCGTATGCTAATGAGGGGTGTGTGGTATTTGGAAGTAGATAAAATTCCTTTGCAATATTTTTAGGTTTAACCTCATCTTAAAACAAGGTGATTTGTCTTTTAAATAGAAAGATAAAATTTTGCTGTAATTATGTTTGTCTCATTGAACTATCATAGGACAATGCAACTTTTCTCAGTATTTTATTTTCTAGTATTTTACTTGTGATCAATATCATAGCTAACAACTACTCATTTACAAATTCTTAAAGACAACATCCAAAGCTAAGTATGAGAGTACATATAAAAGGAAATATCAAATTTCTTTGCTTATTTATAAAGTTTTTATATAAAGGTCAATATGGAAATATATCTGTTGAATAAATTTATGATGGTTCATTTTAAATGAATTACTCACAAGTACTTATGTATGACTCATAAGAATTCAATTATTTTATTGACTTTCTTTAAAATTACATATAGAAGATGACAGACAAATCTGATGAAATCTTAGGCAGAAGTTTTTGTGGCTTTCTTCATGGGACATTACATTGAGAAGACAAAAATGGATAACAGATGAGCATACTTTATAATTCATTTTAGCTTCAGAAAAAGACAAGATGGAAAGCAGAATTTCACTGATCTCCTAACTGAGTAAAAATATTCTTAGACAGAAAATACTTTAATTAGTTGAGTCCATACTTAACATAATACGTATCAAAAATCTGTTACATTTTTTGCTAACACAAATGCTCAGTGCCTGGCGAGTGGATGCACGTTTGCCCAAAACCCATAGACTGTACAACATTGAAAATTCATGTCTCCACAAAAACCTGCATACAGGTGTTTACAGCAGTTTTATTCGTAATTGTCAAAATTTGGAAGCAATCAAAATGACTTTCAGTAAGTAAATGGATAAACAAACTGTGGTACACCCAGGAAATGGAATGTCTTTAAGAACTAAAAATAAATGAGTTGTCAAGCCATAATAAGACATAAAGGAACCTTAAATGCATATTACTAAGTGAAAGAAACCAATCTGAAAAGGCTGCTGTACAGTTGGAACTGTACAGTTCCAACTCTGTGACATTCTGGAAAATGCAAACCTAGGGAGACAGTACAAAGATCAGTGGTTGCCAGGAGTTGGGGAGAAGGAGGAATGGAGCACAGAGAACTTTTAGGGCAGTGAAACTACTCTGTATGATACCATAGAAAGTACAACACCAACAGTGGCTTTGAGTAATAGTGATGTGTCAATGTCGGTTCATTGATGATAACAAATGTACCACTCTGGTGGGGGATATTGAAAGTAGGGAAGGATGTGAAGGTGGGGGGAAAGGGTAAATGGGAACTCTGAACTTTCTGTTCAATTTTTCTGTGACCCTAAAACTGCCCTTTTAAAAAGTCTAGTAAAAAGAAAAAAAACTGGAGATAGAGAAATCACATAGGAGTCTATTGCAATCATGAATGATAATGCCCTGTAGAGCCATTTTATCAAATAAAAAGTAACTTGGAATCCCAAAATATAAAACTGTGCTTTAA